CAGACGCCCACGCGCAGATCTATCGCGGGGTCAATCTTTAAATAGTGCTTCACACGCGCCGTGTATTCAGCCCTGTGCTCGGGCGTCTGCGCTCGCATGCACCCGTAGCATAGCCCCGCCTCCTCCCCGCCCCACACGTATAAACAGCCGAATATGCACTGGCCCTCGTGAAAGAGGGCGAAGAACGCATTGAGGGGCGGCGGTATCCCGTCCAGCAGTGGCCCCTCGAATGGTCCTTCTGCCCCCTCGGGTGGTGTATCCGGCCGTCTTGGCGCCATGAGGTAACATTTCAGTTTTTTTTTGTTAATACATCACCTATGGTGGTGGAGATACAAGATGTCAGATACAAAATGACTTTTTTTAAATCTAATAAAAAAATAAAGTTGGTTGAAAGCGGGAACAAGAACTTTTTTACACTTACCGTTGTTTCTCCTATCACCAATCTCTTCAATTTTATATAGTGTTCGTACCCTTCTGAACTGTCACCAATGTACTGATGAGATGCTGCGTAACCACCGATGAGATGCTCTCACAGGTAACCATCTTTTTGCCCCACCATAGCCCTGATTTTTTGCATAGTTGCAAATAAGAGACACATGTAGTAGGGGTTACGAGGGCCTGGAATTCATAGGGTTGGTCAAGACAGTGGTACCCCCACGCCAACCGTATTTGCGCATCGTTCGCTAGATTAAGCAAAAGAGGGGCACCAGCATTCCAGAAGCAGCTACTTCATATGTGGAGGGGTTCATCCCGAGTAAAATATTAAGGGGTTGAATGACCACCCATCGATAGCTAAATGTATCGAAAAAGTATCGCCAATGCGTACGATGCTTGTATAATTTAAGGTATTTCTTACAAAAAAAGAACCGTATTCTACTTTACCACGTTACCTCCTTAGGGTAGTTAAAAAGTTACCGACAGGAGGTCAGTGCATAATTACCGACCGTGGTACGCCCCCTGGGGACATGCAACACCGTTGGGCATTTTCGGGTCTTAGGACCGCATGGTGGGGCATCGCCTCATGACTGAGGGGCGGGGAGAGCTGCTCACATCGGTGAGGCGGGTGACGTAATAGCGCGGCGTGGAGAGTCAGAGCGCTATGCGCTCCATGACTCATCGGGGATAGTGGTGGGGGTTTGTTGTGACGGCCAGAAGTGGTGTATAACAACTCACGTCTTACCAAGACGAGAATCCGCAACTCGGTAATGCTGACCGAAATACGAGGTCCAGTACGTGATGATAACAAGGGAAGTCTATCCTAGTCCCTGCAGAATGTGGGAAAGCAGAGTTTGCAAGAGGAGTGAGCAGAGAGCTCGACTCCCTATCCTAAGGGATTCAGTCGTCAGTAGGCAGACAACTTACACAGAACTCGTTAGTCACTCCGTCTCCTCATACTTAGACATTTTAATGGTCCGCTACATTCAAGTGACCATCGAAAACAGTAGAGACTCAGAATCAGTGTACTGGTCAGTAAAGTGCAACACGAATTGGAATCGCCTCAGTTATTACACGAATCCGGAATATTCGAATTGAACTTAGGGTACGAACTGAATTTCGTTAGAAGCAGTGCTGTTGATCCGGGAGTAGCCCTTTTTGACGTGGGTGCCGTGCGAAATCTCATGGTACGCCGCGCGGGAGTGAAAAATCGAGAAAACCGGGCCGAACCTGTAGCCTGTGGCGATAGTGAAGCCAATAGTGGCTGACCGACTGTACGTGCATCCGGGCCCTTCAACATCCGTTGAATCAGTCACCATCGACCAAGAAATCGCGGTTGTAACGCTGGAGTGAGATTTGGAAATATCCGGCAAGAATAGAAGAGACATGAAGGAAATCTGGATACTAGTGCTTTTGATCCTTGTGACTCCGGGGGAGGGGAGTTTGAACGACCAGAATTCGCATCAGAACATTGCGATAAAAGATCTTCCCGGATTATATTATGAAAGGGTGACTCCGCTACGACTACAACATGTAGATTGGAGAGTAAGTGTGTTTATAGAAGTGGAAAAATTCAAAAATGACTTTCCGGAAATAGGTAAGCAATTGGACAATGCACTGGACGCCTGTCAGCAGGTAAACTCGCTAGACACTTGCCGCGAACTTCTGCAACATGACTTTCTCAGGGATCAATTAAAAATTGCCAAAACAATAGTGAGGAAGTTGGGACATGCGGCGATCGCACATGAACTTCCACCTACCATAGACCGCGAGCCCTTACGTACCATGAAGAAGCGTTCAGTACCTCTTGGAATAATTGGATCGATCAGTAAATCGTTATTCGGGACAATGAACCAAGAAGATGCAGAATATATTCACTGCTAGATAGACCGACTCTTTGCGGATCAAACAAATTTAACACAGCTGATAGGGAGACAGATGCACATCACCGCATCACGGTTGCAACAACTCCATGAGGATCACGTAAGCGAGTCCCGAAAAGAGGATAAGTTGTACGACGGAATAGATGGGCTTTGGAAACAGCTACAAACCTTGGACAAAGAGAATGCAAAGATCAAATTGAATGCGGAGCTGACGAGATTCGCGTATCGTGCTCAATTAAAACTGGAACAGTACGTAAAGGTTGGAGAGGAATACCTCCGAGTGATTTCTGCGGCGCGAGATGACCGATACGATCCAGCCATTCTACATACAGATCAATTAACAGCGATCTCCCGGGAAATTCAACTTCAAGCTCCAGAGTTTGAGTTTCCATTGGCCGTAGAGTCTTTAAGGGGCGAAATCTTAGCACGTATAGTACGCACTGAGCTAGTGTTCCATCAAGGCCGCCTCATTATCGTACTACACATCCCGTTACTCGACAGAACGCGTTATCAGTTATATCACATGCACCCATGGCCCGTGACTCAGGCAGGAGGTCAAATAGGGTCGGCTTACATAACTCCGGCCGCTCCATACATTGCTATTTCAGAAGACCGAAGAACATACTTTTTGGCCGATGCGCTATACATTGCGGCATGTGTGCAAGTAATTTCCAATTACCTTTGTACCATAGAAGCACCCGTCTATGAAGTATCTGTCACTGGAAGATGCGAAATAGAAATGCTGATTCGTCCATCGATATCAGCTTATCAACAGTGCAACGTCCGTGTCACTCTATGGCATGGTCCATTCTGGAAACACCTGCCTGCTCAAGGGGGTTGGTTGTACTCACTTGCTCAACCAGAAACGGTACACATACTCTGCCCTGGACTAGTTGACACCACCGAGAAATTGAGTGGCGCAGGGGTATTTCACCTCAGTGCGAATTGCGTAGGACGGACGCGTAGCGCAACGCTGACTGGTATTAGAGCTTATTTTACAGCAACAATATTTCTACGCTCCAGAAGCCACCCTAAATGTGACCTTGATAGCACCAATACTAAAGGATCTTCCGGACGAGAGGGTAATGCCGTCAGCACCAGACGAATCCAATGGGAAATCCCACTCATGGAAGTATCAACAAGATGGCGAATCACTATTCGATATCGAACAGAGGATCATGGAGATTGGGACGCACAGAAGGAACAAGTAGCAGCAGCAACACTGGACCATCGTTGGATTCTCTCTCCAGGGGCTCTTCGTGCTGGTTCTCTGCGGTTACTTTTGTAAAAAGTTTATCTGGAAACGAAACTGTTGTGGATGGTTGACTTCCCGGAAGAATGACATTGAAGTAGGGGAAACAATGCCTTTACCCCGTAGACGCACAGGCCACCTGTATCGTATCCGCAACGGTGGTACAAGAGCCACCACGAAAGACGCTAACGAACCCGAGGCCCGGGTCCCACCAACAACCATTGCCACCGGGATTCTCCCGCGCCAAGAGGCTCAGGTTGATTAATACTACACTATAACTCTAGACGTAGCACTATACATAGGAAAATTGGTCACATGGGAAAGTCACGGCGAACACCAAGAAATAAAAACCGAATATTCTAGTTAAAAGCCAGTAGGGCAAATTTTTATGAAAATTGGTCACAATGGGAAAGGCACGACGAACACCAAGAAACAAGAACCGATTATTCTGATTAAAAGTGCAAATTTTTATTGCAATTACTGAGTAGCAAATAACCGGCCGAGTCCGATTGGGTCCTCTTCGTTGTTGGGATCCGCCCATAGGATCCCGCTACGAGACTTCAGCCACTGGCGGTGTTGTTGGATTGCCGTCCTTTAATTTATGGTGGCCCGACGAGGGCGACCCCTCCGCCGGGACGGGATCAAAATTGCCCCAATGTCCTAAGGCCAAAGGGGATAATGATAAAACAATTCCTCAGGAAGGGAGTAAATAACGAACGTCGAGCGATAAAAACGGGAACTTACCAGCAAACACCTGTAACTCCAGCGGCGGTGGCCCCTCGCACACAAAAGCGCCGTAAATCCCATGCCGTGCAGCTTGGACGTTCTCCATGGTTGTTCTCGATCTCGATCTCGTTGTTCTCGTTCTCAATGCAGTTGTTAGACTGAGGAATCAGGGACGTGAGGCTCCTCAGGAGAAGCCTCCGGAGACCAAAGTGGTACAAGGAAGGGGCACAGACGACAAAGGATACCTTTAGCAGAAATTGCAGCGGTGGCAGTCGCAGAAAAAAATACTGCTAATGCGATAGTCTTACTAGAATTATAATCCAGGCCTTGTCAGCGTAATCGTAAGCTTAAGCAATAGCGTAAGACTTTCACTTACCGTAAGAAAATTTTTATTGTATACACTTGTCAAAATCTTCACCATGCATGGCCCTAGAGCATCGAGGTGTCGTCGGATTACTTGCCAAAGGCGATACTTAAGGGGGGGATGCTGTCACGTGCCGTGTCTTTTTGAACTTGGATCTCACACACATAAATATGCAACAGGGAAACCACGCGATCTCGGAGATGCCGACTGCAGCAATATGCGAGGAAGCTAGCTTCCGATCTTATCACACCAAGAACGTGCCTAAACGTGTGAACTGAAAATTCCAGGATTCACGCGAGCGGATAAAACCGCTGAATTAGTAAGATTTGCCCCTACCTGTCCACCTACTTTCAGCACAAGGTAGGATGGAGCAGGGAAGGCAAATCAGTCTCCAGATACACACCAGAGCGCATAGTTCAGGCTGGAATAGCTCCTCACAAATTGCATCGCGCGGCGGCTATCATTCTCACGGGAGTTCCACGTACTGTTATCCATCGCCGTTTGTAAGTCGATTAAGACGTATCGAGCCCTTCGAGTTGCACGCATAGCGTATTAGTCAATGCGAGTTTAGATGTTAGTATTCTGATTTTTGCCACGGACAATATTGTCGTGTAGTTTAAATGATCACCAAAGTGAAGGATCTCGAGTTGTGTGAAGAAGAATTGCCAACACCAAGGCAGCGTGGGCGTCTAACGTTGCACGCCGAATGAACGTATGAGAGTGAGTACGCAAGAGTGAGTGAGGACATGGCATTACGAGATCATTGTAACCTAGCTGTAAGACCATCTGGCACTTTCATTATTTCCTATTTTAATAACTAGCACTTAAGCAAAATTGGGTTGTAACAATATATTCGGATCATTTCATTGGGATCACTGCATCTTTGATTTAAATAGACCATACACCAATTCCTCCACCTAACGGCAATCCAAAGGACCGGGCCTGTATAGGACGGCAGTCAAGAACTTACCCAGAACAAAAATAAATATAAACTTCCACGCGTAGCGTGGGAGATTAACTTTGTTAGACGTGTGATAACGCCCTGCACGTCACAATAAAATAGTAATAATATGTGTATATATATATGTAAGCAATTATTTAAAAAAAAAGTAATAAATATATATGTATAAACCTGTACCATAAAAAGTGATCAAATTCACATGCGTGAAATGTCTAATAAATCAATATATCAGGTAGCTCTATAATATAATAATGCTAGTGTTTATAAAATCTATGTACATAATTACAGGCGCACGGCCACCACCTCATCACCGCCCTGGGCTATGACCACGGCCCTGTGGTCCACATAGGAGCTGATACAAGCTATACAATCCAATGGGTTATACGCATGCAGGACGCTCTATTCACAGCGTACGCACACCCCGCTGCCTATCGGTATGGTGACATCAACCAATAAATAATGCAGTACTGCCGGGGTGTACTGTACCCTGGTTTCTGGGTCCTGCATGCGCATGCAGCAGTAGCATAATTTCACAGGGCCGCGGACATATAGGCAGCCGTAAAAGCACTGGCTACCGTGGAGGGGCTCGAAAAACTCATTCAGAGGCGACCGAATACCGTCGAGTAGGGGCCCCTCGAATGGACCCTCCATCCCAAAGGGCGGTGTATCAGGTCTCTTCGGTGGCATCGTCTGTAAAAATGTCAGTTTCTTTAATAAATCTGTTTAAAGCAAATAAAAAAACCGTATAGTCTTATTACACTTACCACTCCAATAGCAGTAATATACATCGATATACATCTTAAGCGAGTTCCATGCGAGCTTGATGGGCGGTCATAGGGGGGTAACAAAGAACTACCGGAAAATCCGAGAACGCTTTTATTGGCCAACATTTCATAATGATGTGCAAAACTTTATCAGGCTCTGCAAGAGCTGCCAGGAGCAGAAACTCGTGCGAGTCAAGACTCGAGAACCGATGTTGATCACAGATACGCCTGTAGACGTCTTTGATAAAGTTGCGCTGGACACCGTAGGGCCTCTACCCACTACTCTGCATGGAAATAACCATATACTAACCATGCAGGACCAATTGTCGAAATATTGTTTGACGGAGCCGATTCCGGATTTAAAAGCAACCACCATTGCAGAGGCAATAGCGCGACGGCTCATAAGTCAATTTGGAGCTCCGTGTGCAATATTGACTGACCGGGGACCTGCATTTACGAGTAGTCTTCTACGCGAAATCGCGAAGATATTCAAAATCAAACAGCTTACAACATCTGGGTATAGACCTCAAACGAACGGTGCTCTAGAGTGAAGCCACATCATGCTAACAGAGTACATCAAACACTATACCGGGAAATATGATGATTGGGATAGACTATTGCCATACGCTGAACTATCTTATAAAACCTGCGTACACGAGGCGACGAATTTTACCCCGTACGAGGTAGTATACGGGAGACTACCGAGACTGCCAAGTCAGTTTCCCACGGAGCCCAAACTCTCCACCTATAATTCCTTTACATCCGAATTAATAAAGCGATTATCGGAAATTCGTGAATTCGCGGGTGAAAACATCAATAAGGCGAAGGAAAACTCCAAACGGTACTATGACGAAAAGGCCCGGCCATTTACAGGCCGCATAGGTGACGAGGTTTGGGTGAAAAAGGAGGTCCGGAAGGGTACGTTTGATGATCAATATCATGGACCATATGCTATAGTAGACATAACTGATAGAAATAATGTAATATTGAAAATGCCAAATGGTCACCTAGATCGTAAACATGTTGATGCCGTAAAACTGTCATATGAGTGAATGCATTGGAATGTAAGAATGAACACTAGGAATTGATAATCAATTTCTCAAGTCCTCACACGCAACACACGTTGGCTGACGAATAAAGGGATCTAGTGACACCGGAAATACCCGAAACCATGGGGACTGCAGCTGGAGGACTTTCTCACGTCTTACCAAGATAAGAATCCGCAACCCGGTGATGCTGACCGAAATACGAGGTCTAGTACGTGATGATAACGAGGGAAGTCTACCATAGTTCCTACAGAATGTGGGAAAGCAGAGTTTGCAAAAAGGAGTGAACAGAGAGCTCGACTCCCTGCTCGAAGAACTGAATTGAAGAGAATATAAGTTCTTAGAACTCTAGACTTCGACTCTAACTTTGACTGTTACAAGACTTTGCACTTCTTTTACAAGACTTCTGATGTACTTCAAAACTTCACACTTCTACCGCTGAACAGGAGCTAGAACTCCAACTGGAACTGGAACTGCAACTGGAACTCGAACTCTCACTGGAAAACTGACTTTTTAGGCTCTCCAACCCCTTTTAATGACTTTGATTCTTATCCCTTCCATTACTTCTCATGAATCTGATTGGTCTTTAATTCCCTTTCTCAATGATCATTTAACAAATCAGAGTACTAACAATTATCTGTCTGTTGTTGCATACCTGAGTCGTCCAATTCTGTACCTGAAACCTCGCGAGTACTGCTAGTCTCGAGGAGCTTCAGGTTTATCTTTTATTCCAAGACATAATATAGGATTGGTATGACAAATTCCTTAAGAACATAATACCTGATAGAAATAATAAGCGTAACATTTTTCCGGTCAAATAAGTGATAACGTAATTAAAGATTCCAATAATATAACGGAATATAAAACAAGACAAAAGTATAAACTTATAAGTATAAATCAATAAAATTAATTATATCAAACGATTAATCGACATATGTGTGTGTATAATGTCTGTATAGGTTAGGGTATAACAATAATAATATGGTTGGCCATGGGTATAAGTGGCTGTCTATATGTATGGGTTAACTAGTATCGTATATTGGAGGGCTGAGACGTAACACCTCCCCCCTTGAAGCATGGAGACTGAGCGGTTTGCTCAGTTTTCATCAACGTGTACGTAGTAAATCGGTCCTGGCTGATCCTTGAGTTGGTCTGGTGATACTGCTTTCAGTTGCGGATAGATGGTCTTCTTCTGTTGAGGTTGTTGTAATAGTTGATCTGCGTTGGTGGAAATTCCTTTTTCCAAGTCCGACTGTGGTGCTGTAGGTGTTTGTTGACTCGCATCTTTATCTCTCGCCTCTTTGTTTCGTCCAAGATGCAGCAAGAAATTGGTCAAGGAATCCCAGAATGATCCTATTAAGCATAGGCTCCAGCCATACACTGTATGTAAAGCTAGTCCGTGCAATATTGTGTCTAGAATAAATTTTGCAAATTTAACAAAAACCCAAATTCCAATAAATCCCGCACTTAAGGTTCCAAAACCAGTAAACCATCCCCAAGTTTTTTCCCAAGTGTCTCTGGCTATTGTCTCAATCACTTCTTCACTCAGGAAATGCGATATAGACATTCCTTGCGTCCCTGTTCCATGTCCGGTGAACCCTCGAGCCACATTGCTCAGAACAGCTGGTTTTTCGGCTGGAAACATGATATGGTCCCGTAATTTCTCCAAGTCCTGTTCTGTATAGATTCCGCTGGTTGCAAGATCTATGCTAGTGTACTCCCAAGTAGGTTCAGAATCTGGTTTCAAATAAATTGGTTCCATAGCTCTATTGGGCTGTGGAGAGAATTTATACCAAATGTCATTAATTAGATACATAGGTGGGACAATATCGTTACAATGTGTAGATATTGCATTTTCCCTAAGGCGACTGCAGAAATGTGAGAATGCATACCACAATGTAACACATCGCGATCTATTACTATCTTGCATTGTATTACTTCAGTCGTAGTAAAGTCGGTCAATTGTAAGAGTTGTATATCGACATTTTGGATTTTTGGTTGGACGGGAGGAATGTCGCATTCTCCTATTTTTAATAGTGACAACGTAGTAATGTTGAGATTGTTCCCCTTGCAGTCGTAAGCTATGAGGGCTTGGACCATCCCAATTGAGAAAAGTATGATCTTGATGGTGATGCATTTTGAAACTGCCATCAAATAATCCAATTTGGTTGACCCGCTTCTCCCCCTTAAAATAATTTAATATACTACTTTTCAGTGAAGATAAACATTTGACACTTTAAGATAGGTTAGGTCAGTGTTTTCGAAAGGGATCTCGAGTGGTATATATTAGATCCTCATGCAGAGTGAGATATGATATAGGACGGTACAGTATATATCCATGTAGAGCTGTTAGTGATTGACATGTCATCAGGGGCACGAACATGCATTCTCATGGGATTAAAAGTAAACCATTCTGATCCGAACTGAAACCCTCCTGTGAACACTTGGTTACACGAGATTTCAGTACCATAAGGCTGAAGTATACGTGTTCTGGGAGACATGTAGTAAGTTTTGTTGTCATATACTACTGGAACTTCATCATAACAATGATCCAGATCTTGCTTCCATGATACATCAACAGGGAGGCATTTGATTATATAGACTATTTCATTACGTCTAAGTCCTGTGTAACCAGGAACTTGCATATAATCTCGGGCAAACATCACAGGGTCTCTATAAGCTGTTGACATCAAAGTTTGTAGTACCTGGGCTTCTAGCATGCATCTCTGGTAATGTAATGACTTTACATTGCTTTACTTTCACGGGGATGAGTTCTGCCAGCTGAAC